ATCTAAAGATCATATTTTACTCTATTTATCTGTTTTCCTCATTCAGCAAACTTTTAAATTTCTGTTTTGTTGTGTTTTATAGCTATAACCAAGTTTATTAATGTATGACAAATCCACTTTGTTTTTTTCCAGTCACTATTTAACACAGCTGCAAAATCAACTGTGAAAATATTTATGATGTGCTTCTTTTTTAATTTAGCATATTGTTAAATAAATCCTTCATGTTATGAAAAGACCCTCTTGAGTCAATAAAAAACTGTTTTTAAGAAAACAGCTGCTTATCAGTTAATTGTTAATCAATCTCTAAGATAAATCAACTTCACATTTATTGAAAACTTACATCCCTAATTTATACAGGAAATAAATCAATTTATATCTACTTATATTTATGTAATTAAGTATCTTAATGATTTGGCTGATTAATCTAAAAAAYCATGGAGAGATGAACGGATTATTAAAACAGTGGTAAGATGCAGCCCTGATGCGTGGTGCTGGGAGGTTTTACTTCTTTCAGCTGCTCCTTGCGCAGGCGATACTGGCGTTTCTGAGAGTCCAGTAAACAGTTCAGCTCTTTCTTCTGCTGACCCAGGATCTGCTGCTGGAACTTCCTCTCTTCTGCCAGAGCAGCTTTAGTCTGCAGAAGCACACAGAGACACCAGACAGTTCAGATCCAGACCAGCTCAGACAGGACTCCAGACCTGAACCTGTCCCCCCTCTGTCCGCACAAACCCATATTAAAGGGGACCTATTATGCAAAATTCACTTTTTAAAGGTTTTTTTTACTCAACTTTGGGTATGTACTTCTTAAAAAAACTGTCCTAGGACCAAAAAAATGCACCCAGGGGTATATATACTGTAAGTAAATGTATTTTTAATGTGTATTAACAACCAGTTTTATACTTCTGTCATTTTGTGATGTCACAAGTCGTACGACAACCCACCAGAACCTGTGTTCAGCCCCTTACCTAACAACCCCCAGGTGAGGCTCCTCCTCCTCAGTATAAAAAGTCCTCACCGTGTTGTTGTGTAATGTGTAGCTCTGTTCACAACAAGCCTCCAACAGGGCAATGGGTAGAGTGTTGGACCAGAGAGAGGGAAACTGGGGTTCGAGATCGGCACGGACACAGTTTAATTTTTTTTCCCGTTCATTATGAACATGTTTTCTCATGTAGCTCTATTGTTTATCTTATTAAAGCCTTGTTAAAGCCTATTTGTTGGAGTTTCTGAGGTATTTTGACCACTGCTGCTCCCTGCTCTGGTAACAGCATGCAGAGTGAGAAAAAAAAGAAGCTGGGACCACGACTCTGCCTCTGGGTCTCATATGGTTGTACAACGGAGCTTCTGCTATTATTAGC